TATAAGTGCTGATTTAGCACTTGCTTGCTGTGAAGGAAAACATCGTGAGGAAACCTGCATGTCTGTGGAATAAGAAAAAAAAATATTTTCGAAGACATGTGTAGTTCGCCAACACGCATTGGGGCAGCGCGGCGGACACTTCTTTGCCCTAAAACCCTCTCAGAAATGAGCGGAGGCCTGTTCCCAGCAGTGGGACGTAAATAGGCTGTAACTTTACTTTTACTTTACTACCCTTACTCTCTGTACTTGATTTAGAAAACAATTTACTTTCTTTCAATTTACTTTAGGTCGTTTATAAGTCTTGTCCTATTTTTTAAATATTTTAAGGCATATAAAAAAGAAAAATAAATAACTAAACAAATACGACAAGACGTCACGTCTTGTAAAGTAACGTCACACATAATCAGAAACTATCAAGAAGTACTAGCGTACACATATTACTACTACAATAGGGATGTCACTCTTCTAGTAAATCAAAAGATATGAGTTACTATCATATTTGGCATAGTATAAAGAGACCAAAGATGACCAATTGACATTTCTATTTACACGCATGGATTACACGCAACATCTTTCAATAGATTTTTCTCTTTATGCCTTATTTGAAAATTAAATTAGAAAAAGCGAGACAAGTATAGAATCTCTCTATGCATACGTATATATTTGATTAGTCTAAGATGCGTAGTATCCTCTTAGTAGTCTGTATAGTGTATACTCTATGCTCCATTAGTCTCCATTTAGTTTGTTGTAGTTTGGCTGTTTTGAATGTTTGATAATATATGCGTACTATCATCCAAAGCATTGAGTGTAGAGTTAAGGAGAACCGTCTCTGTATATTAAAAAGTATCCGTAAGAAAGCGTTAAATAAGGGTGGCGCCTCTGTAGCTAGAGGGTAAATTTAAAAGAATTTTTATTGCACAAATTTTCACCATAATTCTTTTTTTTCACTCTCAAAGTGTTTCACGGTAACTTTTTCTGGATTATTTTTACTAAATTATTTAGACAACGTGAGTAGTTGAGGTTTTAAATACAGCAGTTTCATCAACTACTCTAGTCTCCACAAGTATTAAATTCCTCGACTCGGCGCATTTCACTCCGTCGACAACTGCTAAGTTCATATCATACCCTCTAGCTATTCTAGCGCTGTTGTCGAAAGTTTTTGAACTGTTATTTACTGCTTGGATACTTTTTCAACTATTCTCCATGTGAGACGGATCTCATTTTTAATATCCTCTTAGTAGTCTGTGGATAATAGCTTGCTACTTTTATCCCTTTGAGTATTAAACCAACTGGAGAGGCCATGCGCGTTAATTTCTAAACAAAAATTCTGTCAACATCAGGGGGTTAACGAATACGAATCAAAAAAGACCACGCAAAAGGTCATCACCCTTTGCGTGGTCTTTTTTTATTCGTATACGTGACAACGAGGCTTTCCTTGAGTTTGAGTGATTAATTTAACTTCGATTGCCATTAATTTGCGTCGACGAGTTGCTTGTATGGTATTTTAATATCGTACGAAGGAATTTTTGCTTTGTCGGGTGGAATGCTAAACTTTGTGATGCGAGAGGAGATCGCGTTCCTCTTCGATTATAGTTTTGTGCTAAGTGACGTTAGACTTGAGTTCAGATAACGGTGAAAGCCCACTGGAGTGATTGCGTCTTGTGGAGCAGAGCAACGCATGTGGATCTGCTGGCCGATTACATCGGTGACGTCAGGTTACATTACACACCTTCTGACACCACTTACACCTACCATTTACTTGCCCCTGACGGCACCTTGTGGTCGACCCTACCTCCGGAACTCGGTAAGTATGTGGTTGCTTATCCAACCATTACATAATAATTATCCATAGGCCATTCGGGCCCGAACGCTCTGTTGCCCGTCGAGTTGGGTTAATGATGGGCCCTAGCCCAGTCGACTTCTGTCGGGGCAACTGAGGGCCGTAACAACAGGAGAACCATCGCTGTAGAAAATAGTGTCCCAAAAATCTGGACAAAATAAGTGAGGAGCTGCGATTGCTAAGTTGTTTCAATAAACGCGGACTGTTGTGCGCTAGTTTAAAATAATTATAATATCATTGAAAGAAAAAAAAAAAGAAAATAACGAAATTTTTATTATTATTTATGATTATTATTACTTATTAATAAATAAATTATAAATATCTTTTATCATTTTAAATATTATAAATTATTACAAATTTAAATTATTAATTATCATTGATTTATTATTATTATTGTTGTTATATCATTTTACCATTTTTTAATGTTTCTTTTTTCAATAATTAAAAAATTACTTGCCAGATGGTATGTAGCGACGGTAGCGTGGCTATATATTATACAAATTTTCAGGGACAGGCTGGAGGCGGGCTGTGCTTTAGCACTAATTAGCGATCATTCTCCTGTTCTCTAAGTTCTAAACTCCATGGATGAGCATGATTATTGCTTTGCATTCAAACCAACGAAAGATATTATATTAAATCGAATGAATAAATAATATGATTATAACTACAATGTTTAATTTTAATTTAATAAAAATATGACATTTAAATGTGTACTTCTACTTTTCTTAGTTTAATACCATGGTGAATAAATTTGGCAGTATTTAGGCAATTTTCGCCACAGACTTTGGCAGTTCGGTTTGGTTTTTAACAAAGTAAGGCAGGATCTGTATTTTAAAGATGGTCACACTGTGCTACATAGCCAGTTGCAAAGAGTAAAGTAAATATCATAGAATACTATAATACATACATAATAGAACGGGGGAGTGGGCGGAGCCCGGTTAGCCACTAACATGTCACTAACACGTCAATTCACGCGTATAAATGTCAACACGATATGTGTTTAGACGTTACAATCGCTTCCAAATTTCCCATGCAAATTATTTAGAAAATGCCAAATCACACGCTATTTACGAATAAATATGTATTAAAATCAGTCTGTCAACAGCGAATCGGGTTTGTAGTAGTGATAAAACGACGTTATTGGTTGTATGTGTGCTCCCGGCGACGCCTATCGTCGTACAAAATAATGTTGACAGCCATTCTATTGTGTATTATAGTATTCTATGGTAAATATATAAGGAAAGCCAGTAGCCAGCAGTATTGCCAACTTGGCGGGTTTACCGCTGGATTTGACGGGTCAGCGAGGTTGGCAACGAGAAAAAAAATTGTGTTTAACGGCTAACGAATTTTTAACGGCACAGCTATAGGTATTATAAAACGGTAGTATGTATATACTTTGGTAGATTTAATTCTGAAAAATAATCCATATGCGTCAAGAATCGATATCAAATCAATTCATTCTTAATATTTAGGGGGGAATGAAAACTTGAAAATCCATACTTGACGGGTTTTGACGGGATTATAGTGCTCTCTACGTAGACAGAGAAACCTATAGACTAATGATTAGCGTGGCCTTAAGTGATAAAGGGCGATAACGTAGTTTTAGGTTATACAATAATCTTTATGACTTTTTAAACACATTTAGATAAAATTATTAATTGTTCTAAGAACTGAACTGAACAAGATTTACCAATCTTAAGCTCACAAAACACTTTTTCCCACTTAAACCAACTTGTAAACTCCTTATATCGCTGTGTACTGTCAAAGTTGTTTAGCAAAGTGTAGTTTGCTAAACAAAAAAACCGGCACGGAGAAAGGGACAAACAATCACACCGCTCTGTCTCATTTCTATGCAAGACGTATGCAACGTTAGTACTCTTATTAGTTTGTGCGTATGCACATAAATCGCGAAAGAAGTCGTCAATTTGTCTATAGGTTTCTCTGTCTACGGTTCTCTACAACGGGAGCTAGATTTTAATGTTGGCAACACTGGTAGCCAGTACATTATTTATGGGCTGTGCTTAATGTTTATGTGTGTTAAGCTGATAAGCCAAGATAAGGTCTTATCAATTATCAGCTTTCGTAGAGACAAAAGTAAGAATAGTGTCACAGTTAACTAAACTGTGGTAGTATATTTCTTGCTTATCATCATAAATTATTCTATTTAAGCATAATGCCACTGGACTAGTATTTCGAAACATTCGTTTTTTTATTTAACCTGTGAGTTATCACTACAAAGGCTCATTGTTTAAAAGAAAGTTATCAACATAGATACATACTGTGTATATTTATGTATTATCAGCATATCCAAAAAGTATTTTAAATATTTATTCATTTATTCAATGGCAGTGAGTGAGGTTGGAACAAAGATTGGGTTGGAGCTTTGAGCAAAGGGTTGGAGTGAGGGTCAATAAGTACTATTATTCTTTCCATTCCTTTTATAATCTTGATATATTTTTTTAGTAAAATTGGAACTGGATAATCACAAACTTCAAACGAATAAGAATTACTGGCGTAAATATAATAATGTTATGCACTTTCGTTTTAGTTTCATTCAAATGGAGTGGTTAAACTTGAACTAGCTCATAAACACGTAGTGGAAGTTCATTTATTTTTTGTTATAAAAACATTTGTGTTGTTTTGTTATAGATTAGGTGTTTCACGAGCAAATTTTAAGTACGGATTTTATCCCGACATTTTTTTGCTTGTTCTGTATTCCTGTCAGCAGTATATAAATATAACCTTGGGTAAGTAAATCGTTGGATTAGACACATAACAATCAAAAATTATAAACTAAAACTAATTATAAAACTCATTGTGTGGATTTTATAAAACTCATTGTTGGAACATGGATTTGGGTTCAATAGTAATTTAGGAATCACTAAATTACTGAATCCACACCCACAACTAAATGAGAAATTTTACAAAATAAACTACAAAACTTAAGATACTAATAATTTAAGAGAAATTTAATTAATTATCTAAAAATAAACATATATTATACATAGTTGTTGATTTAGTGATTTTAGAAATTTTGCATATTTACTTTTATTTTTAGTTTGATTTAGTTTGAGAATATTTATAACTTTATATTAAACAGCCATACAGTCCAATATTCTTTGTCTTTCAGTTGTGAAAAATCTTTTTAAATTGCTGTATAATGGCACATTCTTCTGAATCTTCGAGAAGCTTTAAAAGTGGACTGATCGACTTTACAGCTGGATCACTAGGTTTTATATTTTTTACAACTAATATTGACACCTCAGACCAACTAAGAAAGATAGATGGGAGCTGTGTGTAGATTTCAAGTGATACAAAACCATGGTCAACTTCTTGACATGATGAGTGCATGCAAACCTCTTTGTTCTTTTCTTTATCAGCCTGTAAAAATTCCTATTCTTTTTTTTTCATAAGAAGTGTAAGGAGTTCTCTGTCTTGCTCACTTAGTTGGTCTGAGAATAATACACTTGTAAATAATATGTAGGTATGTTAAAAATCATAAGTGGTTATTACTTTAAAGTACATAATTAAAATACACACAACACATAAATAAAAAGAATAAAATAACAAAAAGAATATAATGACCTGCTTAAAGCTAAATTTATGGAGCTTTTATTCTATGGATATGCTAATTCCATCTTATTCTTATAAATAATTGAACTCATATTTACAGCCAACATAATATATATTATATGAGCTATATTATCAGACCTACTCACTAAAAATTGTTTGCAATAATCCTATGTCATGAAAACAACATTCTGTTTCTATTATTCAAACACACTCCACAAATTGATACTATCATCAAGTGTTTTACATACTTCACAGTTTTCTTTCTATCTTTCCACATCTGCCTATATAAGCCCAATGCTGAACATGTTTCCTCTCCATTTTCTGTGAGGATTTGTCAGGTAGTGCGGCCTAAGAGAATAAACACCATTTTATCCTGTAGGTGCCATAAGTAGCGATAAAAAGAAATACCATAATAATCAATTCAACCTCTCATTTCCGCCACACTTAAAATAGCCCAACTGGTGATGGATGGCAGCATCTATGGTTGTGTTTGGCACTCAATGTTCCACTTGTTTTGTACGAAGTTTTGGACATTTACATTTACAATAACTTCAAAATAAAATAATGATGTAGATTGTAAGTAATTGTGCTTAATGTTATTTTTTTATGTGATTGTTTATTTTTATTTTCCAATAGGTGGTGTAGCAGTAGTATATGTAGGTCAACCATTAGACACAGTAAAGGTTAAGATGCAAACTTTTCCACAACTATATAAGGGGATGTTTGACTGTTTAAAACAAACGCTAAGAAATGATGGAATAATCAGGGGACTATATGCAGGCACCACCCCAGCCATAATGGCCAATGTTGCTGAGAATTCAGTGCTTTTTGCAGCATATGGCTATTGTCAGAAGTTCATTTGTCAAGTTACTGGTACTGAGGTAAATATTTATTTTTGAAAGACGATAAATATTGATGAAATGAATGAAAGAGAATTCAGTGCTACATAATAGCGGTATAGTAGCTCAGAGGCTTTTTACTAACTTAAATTTCATTGTATGAAAGAACCCTTACTTTAGTGCCACTAAAACTTCTTAACAATAACTCTAAGCACTAAATGTGCCCATATGCAATGGCCATCAATAGAAAGCTTGGCATAGCTAAGTAATTATTAAAAATATTTTGTGATGAAACAATGTCTGCCTACATTTTAACTGCCCTAAGACCGATGAAGCTGTAAGAGCCAAAAGGCTAACAGCACTAACATCACAGAAACTAGACTGTATTGTTAAAGACCATCAACACTTGCCTACACTGTGAAGCCTATTAGTTGAACCTATTTAAATTGTAGTTTTTTTTATAAGGGTGACACAAACAAGTATATAGTCCGCCTGATGGTAAGTGGTTACTGTGGCCCATAGACATCTACATCTATCCTCGATTACGAATTAAAATGCAGATGCATTGTCACCCGTGAGGACTGAGATGGAATGCCTCATTTCCAGTAAAAAGGGTCTCCAGTTTACTCCACTCACCATACAAAACACAGCAGCGTTGCGCTCCTATTTTATGATGGTATTCTGTGAGAGCGTGGTCCTTCCCCTGTGGAGCCCACTTATGCTTCAATTATACTACTTATATAGCTGCAGTATGGCTCTACCATGTATATATAAACTGTTAATTTACATTTATAATGAAACTGATATGTATAATTTGCTAGTTATTACTTTGTATTATGTTTTAGAATATAGAGCAGCTTTCAACAGTGGGTAATGCAACAGCAGGTTTCCTGGCAGCATTCTTTTCATCTTTCACACTTTGTCCAACGGAATTGATTAAGTGCCAACTTCAAGCCATGAGAGAAGTCAATGTGCAGGGCTCACAAACAGCTGTATGATGACTTTTGGGTATTTCGTTGAGAATATTTCATAAATTTTTAAATATACTTATTAATAATTAATATATTGCAGCTGCTGTGATACAATTTTAATAGTATTTTTACTATGTGGGCATTCGAAAATTTTGCAAAACTAAAAGAAAATTTTATGGGTCAACAATTTTATTATAAAGTTTCTACTAAGATCTTACCACCAGCATATGTACAATGTCTAAGAACTAACTTTCAACTGACTTCAGGAAAAGGAGGAGGTTGTCAATTCAGCTGTATTTTTTGTGTTACCTCAGACCGTTATTCGTCACTACTTCTAGGTGAACCGATTTTGATGATTCATTTTTGTTTATTTGAAAGCTGGTGCTTGCCATATAAATTTGATCAAAATCTGACCAGTAGTTTTTGAGTTATCCTTAATAATGCGTATATAATTGACTTTGATTACATTGATGATGTTCTCATTTTATTTATATTGAAGTCGGTTGCATATTTTTTTTAATTTTACCACTTGTCTAAATGCTATTTGTTCGCCAATTTCCAGCGCCTGCTCGAAAGCTGCTAAAGCATCTTTCGACTGTATCCCTTGCAGCTGATTTTTATATTTCAGGGTATAAAAATAGTCACACGGTGGCAACTCCACCGATCTTATCTGCAATGTCTGCTGAATCTCTTCTTACCTAATCTATTCTCTTCAATTAATTATTTACGACTAGCTAGCTACCAAGTTTCCTCTCTTAACAGCCGGCGAAATGCGACCACTTCTTTATTCATCTCTCAACGTGAGTAGCGGTACACGGTTGCTATAGGTTTTTTTTATTTATAAAAGCCATTTGAAATCTATCTAATGGTTCGTCCAGTTTTAAGCGACGCAGATCATTGGTAAAAAGAAAAAGAAGATATTGATATGAGATCTGAATAGGGTTGTGACGCCGGACATAGGATTTTCGGATGCGTGTCCGACTATTTTAGACGGTGACGGTTAAAGACGGTTAGGCTTTTACATTTTCCCAGTCGCGCTGCATTGGCTCGAACGACCCATGGCGTGGCGCAATTTTGATATGAATCGCATAATTTAAAAAAAAATCATACGATTTGATTAGAAAATTACAGAAAACCTGGATTTGCGTACAGCAATTTAATTATTTTTTTAAAACTATGACACAGAATCAAAGTAAAGTCCGGACCTGGCAACCCTTACCATCGAACATTAAATAATTAAAAATTGGACGCACTATCGAGTGTAGAAGTAAGGTGCACCAACTCCCATAGTTGAATAGTTGAAAAAGTGGCCATCTGTAAGCAGTATATAACAGCTCAAAAACTCTCCACAACAGCGCTGGAGTAGCTACTGGGATGAAATGAAATTAGCAGTTGTCGACGGTTTAAGTGTGCTGTTAAACTGCTCCGTAGCTCTAAAATCTAAAATAATTTTATTTAGTAAATATAACCTCGAAAAATTCGTCTATCCCACTAATATATTTGGTGCGTTCTTTAAAATTTACTCCATAGCTATAGTGGCGCCACCCTTATTTAACTGTTTTCTATGGACACTTTTAATACACAGTCTGCACTCCTTACTTCTACACTCTATACTACGCACGCAAACCTATCCATTCAAAATAGGAAAACAACAAAGAAGAGACACTATGATCATAGTGCTTCATCCCACTTTCACATCATTTTTCACAGGAACATAGCCTGTTAATTTTATTACGTTTTCGTTTGCATATTATTTTCTGTTCTAAATTTTGTACGCGATAATAACACGTCGGTTAGACGTAGGTCTCGATCTACTTTTAGCGGCGTAGTAGGTACCTTATCTTCCTTTGCGTTTTTGTTTTAATTAATGACGCAGATTCATTTTTCAATGATACAAAGAAAAGATGTGGAGGGAAATATGAAATTGGAACATTCGTATATTTTTTTTACTTTTAAACAATCGAATTTTCAAAATAAATTCTAACAGGCCAGTGCCTCATACCAAAAACAAAATTGTACCTGTAATTGTATACAAACGCACGAAGTAAAACTTTTATACGACATAGCATTCTTCATTAATTTCGTATTATACATAAGTAGGTTGGATAATAGTATACTCATGCAGCCACTGCGGTGAAACATTAGATGAAAATATGACGTTATTATAATTTAAATTAAATATCGTAATAAATTTCTCCACTACGTCGGTAAAGAGTTTCACTTCAATTGGCAAAACTTTCTGCGTGGCCTGTCGTAGATAAAGACAGATAACTCTTAACAGATTAGCAACAAGTAAAAAACGACAACAAAAACCACCATTAAAATTCTTACCCCTTAAATATCATTTTTCATTTTTCGAAACATATTACAAGCTAATTTTTAATTTAGAAACTATTTCGATTGTGTCTACCAGCATGTTTCAGAGTATGTTGAAAATTGGTTTGTGATCGGATTCAACCACATCATAATTTATTCTATTATCTACTGGATATTGAGGGCAAGATATTGTGAATTGATGCCTTTAATTTTAGATAAAAGTGACGCCACTGCAGCTCTCGCAACAAATATTCAAACAATATGGAATACAAGGCCTATTTAGAGGGCTTGTACCGACAATAATGAGGGAAATGCCGGGATATTTTTTCTTTTTCGGTGGATATGAAGGTAGGTAATTTTTATAAATATCGAATCTACTACAAAACATATAAATAACTAAAAATCTCTAGGACAGGATTTATCTCGAGTTCTTATAATGTATTCCATGAATATAATAATAATATTTTGTTATATATCTTTATATGTCTTTTTTTGCCTTATTTTAAGTAGTAAGTACTTGCCGGAAGCCGTACTTGAAAATGACCGCGCCAGGGTCAACTGGGACCGAGCCATAATCACAGACAGGACTATTCTTGCGAATAAGCCTGATATGGTGCTGATGGACCGGCACAGTCAAGGATATTTTTGGTCGACATTACCATTCCGTATGACGAGAACCCCGTGAAAGCTGAAACAGATAAGAAAACTCGACCTGGCTCACGAGGTCACCGACATATTGGGTGTCTGCCGACCGAAATTGTACCTATAGTCGTTTCTGCGAACGAGCTAATCCTGGTCACGGGTCATTTGAGGTGACTGAGACTCTGTGACGGACCGCTCCGGTCTCAAATGCAGAAGGCGATGCTCCTCGATACCGCCCGCATCTTCCACCGGTTTCATTCCCTTTCACCTTAACCTTCGGCCGTTTGGTCTCACCTGCGAAGGGATTCCATCTGGTTGGGCTTTTATTTATTAATGTATTATCAATTTAAGTATACTCAATATATATATTTAAGTATATTTATCATTTTCTCTTACATATTTATTCAGCCCAAACAGATGAGAATACTCCATAAATACCCCATAATAATAATAATAAATACAGCCTTTTGTCCGGTGTGAATAAGACACACGCATATAACGGCGGCATGCCTGTCCTCATGTATACCTTTGGCATACTCAGGTGGAGTCAGACTGAACTAAACGCCCTGGATAGAAAATTCCACACTACAATGACGTCCCGTGGGATGCATCATCCGAGATCGTCGGTAATGAGGCTGTACTTGCCGCGAAAGCATGGTGGGCGTGGCTTCTTGAGCGCGCTCACCATGCATAATCGCGAAGTGTGCAGCCTCCGTGATTACTTCCTGGCGAGATCGGATGATCCATTCTATAATGACGTCATTTCTAGTGATAAAGGACTTACCCCTCTATCCTTAGACAACGAGCAATGGCAGGACCCAGCAGTACAGAGCATCTCCGACCGGGAGACCGTATGGAAGGAGAAGGAGCTCCACGGGAGGTACTACAGGGCTCTACATGAGCCTCACGTAGATACAGCCGCCTCCCTCAACTGGCTACGTTTCGGTGACCTCTTCGGGGAAACCGAGGGTTTTGTCTGTGCAATACAGGATCAGGTTATTAAGACCAACAACTATCGGAGATACATCCTAAAGGATGGCACTGTCGACGTCTGTCGAGCTTGTCGCCATCCCGGGGAGTCACTTAGGCATGTAATCTCCGGTTGTTCGGCGCTTTCTAACTCTGAGTACTTGCACAGGCACAACCTAGTAGCCAGAATTCTACACCAGGAGCTCGCTCTGAAATACGGTCTCGTGGACCGGAAATTGCCGTATTACAAGAACTTGCTCGAAAATGACCGCGCCAGTCTCTACTGGGACCGGGCCATCATCACGACACAGACAAGCCTGATATTGTGCTGATGGACCGGACACAGTCGAGGATATGTTTGGTCGACATTACCATTCCGTATGACGAGAACCTCGTGAAAGCCGAAACAGATAAACGAACAAAATATCAGGACCTGGCTCACGAGGTGACCGACATGTGGGGTGGTATGCCGGCCAAAATTATTCCTGTAGTCGTCTCTGCGAATGGGCTAATCCCAGTCAGCCTCTCGGGTCATCTGAGGCGACTGGGACTCCGTGACGTACCGCTCCGTGCTCAAATGCAGAAGGCGGTGCTCCCTCGATACCGCCCGCATCGTCCGCCGGTTTCTTTCCCTTTACTCCTAACCCTCGGCCGTTTGATCTCCCCTGCCGAGGGCTTCCATCTGGTTGGGCTTTTATTTATTTATGTATTTTTGTATTTATTTTATTTTAATTATATTTAGTACCCGGTTGACCGAGCTTTGCTCGGTATTTTTCGCTCGGTGGTTTTTAATATTTAGATACAAATTACATACTGATGAAATACGAATAATATTTTTTGATCTTAGCGACATAATAGAAAAAACGGAACTGGTTATTTGAATAAAAAATCATGAGTGCAATTAGTTTAATTTAAATTTTCATGTTTTTTAAAAAAATACTAAAAAACGGGCTCGAAAAAATAGATTTTCTCAAAAAAAGAAAGGAACTTGAAAAAAAAAATTAAAAAAAGTCGGTCGGTCGGCCTGGGCCCGAACCATGGTATTACGATTTTGTGACCGCCCAATATACCAATTAAGCTATTTGTAATCATTAATAGACTGTCAAAATTTACTTTCTTATTCTAACGATATTGTAGCAGTTTTTCATTGCCTAAAACACGGACAAAAAGACATTTTCTAAAAATAAGTCCTAGCTAGATCGATTTATTGCCCCCGAAACTCCCCTGCACACAAAATTTTATGAAAATCGTTGGAGCCGTTTCCGAGATTCCGATTATATATATATATATATATATATATATATATATATATATATATATATATATATATATATATATATATATATATATATATATATATATATATGTCAAGAATTGCTCGTTTAAAGATATAGGATGTATATTTATCTTTTCATTTTAATTTATAATTATATATTTATAGAACCCAACCAGATGAGAAAACTATATAGATACCCCCAATTAATAATAATAAAAGCGCTCAAAATGGAGGTCGGGGCGGTGGTTGTGGAACCAAGAAACCACTCCTCATTAACGGGGTCATTGACAAAGTAGTTCAGCTCAACAGGCGAAACTTCTCCGCCGTCTGGATAGATACAAAAAGCATTCGACTCGGTGCCCCATACATGGCTAAAGAGGGTCCTCCAGCTGTACAAAGCTGACTGTACAGTTAGAGACTTCCTCGAGCAGTGTATGGGGCAGTAGAGTACGATCCTTTGTCATCAGGGTGAGCTGATGACGGCTGCGGAGAATCACATAAGGATACGAAGGGGTATCTTCCAGGGCGATTTTCTGAGTCCAATCTAGTTTTGCTTCTCTCTGAATCCTCTCAGTACCTTACTAGAGGGCTCCGGGAGGGGATTTCAGCTTTGAAATGGAGGGACAAAAGTGACCCACCTTTTCTGTATGGATGATCTCAAGTTGTTCGTCTCCAGTCGCTCCCATTTTATGGAATTGCTGAACATCACTTGTGAATTCAGCAATATTTATTGATTTATGTTAGTATATTCAATATATATTTAAGTATATTTATCATTTCCTTGTACATAGGTATTTATTCAGCCCAACCTGATGAGAATACTCCATAAATACCCCACAATAATATTTTATTTCCATAAAATATGGTGTAAAAAAGACAGCATGCAATTTTTTTTTAACGTACACGTAACATAATTCTTTTTAAGGTAACAATATACTTTCTAAGACACGGTAAACTTTTACAGGGACTAGAGCTTTATTAGCAAAACCAGGCCAATCGAAAGATGACATTGGTTTTCTAAAGACAATGGCTGCTGGAGGCGTTGGGGGCTGCGTATTGTGGACTGTTATTTTCCCCACCGACGTAATTAAATCCCGTGTTCAGATATCGAACAAAAAACAAAAATTTCTTACTGTTGGATGTGAAATAGTGAAAAATGAAGGTAGGTGCGGTTTTACCTATATACAAAAGCGTCGTACTAATAACGATGAATATATATATATATATATATATATATATCATACGTAAAAATTACGCACGATGTACTTACGCATTATTGATTTACATACGAACGCTGACGGCGCTATCAAGGTGTCCTTTTAGACTCCTTTGTGTATAAATACTATAACCTACCTGTGTAGCAATTAACGTCATGTACATGATAGAGCTACACGACAGCTGTATTGTAGTTGTAGCACGAATGAGTTGGCTCAACTGGAGAAGGACCACGCTCTCACAGAATACTGGCTTCAAATAGCAGCTTAATGCTGTTGTTACGTATAGTGACGTTAGTAGAGAACCGTGATAAGGCATTCCATCTTAGTCCTCAGCGGTGACAATACATCTGCATTATGATTCTTAATCTAGGATAGATATACATGTCTATGGATAACAGCATTCACTTACCATTAGGTGGACTGTGTGCTTGCTCACCACCTTTATTCTATAGGAAATTAAACTAATTACGACTTGAATGACTTGTATAGTACGAGACGACAGAGATAATTTGAGCCACGAGACGGGCAGCATAATAAATAAACTGCGGTTGCCAACCCGTTTGCCAAGCGTGGCAATTATGACATCCCACTATGTAATTACAAACAGTAAACTGTCTCATGTCCGCGGCGGTCCTGCTGTTCCTGACTCTGGTGGCAGTCAGGTAAATGTCGGGGCGGGGTGTGCGAAGAATCTCCGTCAGTATGTTATGGGATTATATGAAGTCCGAAGACATTGGGTGGGCACAGTAATCCGATAACTTGCTCTATCACCGAAAAGACGGCCTTCTGTTCCAAGGAAATGTGAAAATGTCAGATGTATCGTCTACAAGTCTCTCGTTTACATTGTGATAGTTGGGAGTGTATCAATGAAGGATGCGTAACTTACCTACACTCAGAATTACCCAAACAGTATTCGTCGAAGACATACAGATTTACACACCAACCTCGGCACATCTCGATGAAGAGGTAGAACAAATGTATGAGGATATCTTAAGAGTCATACATTCCTCTGAAACTCATTACACTGTGTTTCGACTACAACGCAAAACTAGGCACATGGAAAGACGATGAGCAGAGAATGGGAAACTTTGGAATTGGTGTATAGAACCAAGTGGCGAAACAACTGACTGACTTCATGAAGAGGGAAGGTCTATATGATGAAATCCTTTTTCCAGAAGCGGTCTCAGTGACATGGACTTCGATTAGACCCAATGGTTCTACGGAAAAGAGATTGACTTAACTTTGAGTCCTAAACTGAAACTACCTATTTAGTGATGTCTTCGATCGCTCGGATGAAAACCGGCAACGACCGTCGAATAATTAGAGGCACACTGAATCTTAACATCAAACTATATAGAGACCTCGTCTAATAAAGTCAATTTAAATAAAATTTTGTAGTATTTATGACTTTATTTAGAAGGTTATCTGTGAGCGAAAGAACAATAATTACTTATAAGTATTGCTCAATGCTAAAGTAAATATGGAAACTCATCTCTTTGGCTTGAGAATGCCGAAAGGACAAGAACGATCCGGAGGTAGTTCACCCTCTTTGTTTCCACCTTCTTACCTCAGTAGCGAGGAAGTCGCCAATTGGCACTCTTGGCAGGCAAACTGACAAATGCAATAACCTTAATTTGTCAAGACCGCTATTTCTTAAGATTTTGCGGAGTTTCCCCACGAGAGTCTACGTTCATTCAACGAAATAGAGTATGGATTTGCCATACGCCGAGATATCTTTACATCATTTGATACGATTTTAAAGTTTATCGTGACTAAAATGTCAAACACCTCATTACTGCACCTATAATTGGAGGGAGGCAATTATAGGTGCTGCAACGTAGCCAAATTGTCGTGGAATATAAAATAAGTTAAAGTAAACGTGATAAAATCTGTAAAACTATCATTCAAAGTGTACTAGTTATTCACGTAAATATAAAAATCAAGATATTGCCTATACATAGTTAATCTTTAAAACAAACTTTCTTCCAGGTGTTTTGGCTCTTTACAACGGCCTCAAGCCGACTCTGATAAGGACTATACCCGCCACCGCCGCTTTGTTCGTAGTGTACGAATATTCGAAGAAAATTATGCATCAAGCATTTGGAGATTAATTAGACTAAATTAATTGTTAGACACACTTTTTATATATTAGATAAATATAAACTTGCTAGTTGGGCACAATACCACTAACTTTTTCCTTCTTTTAGCATTTTTCATGACGATTTATATTATAATATAAATATTTGAATATAATATAAATATATGAATATAAATAATTGAATATTGTTATTTATATTATTAATTACTTTTGTTTAACTGTTAATAAATGATAAGTTTGTAGACATGTTTTTACATTTCGTTGTGCTCAATCAAGAACTACTTCATTACAACAATGATAAGGTTATCAATATTATCTTTTCCTGGAAAATAATAATTTATCATTAAACTACGTCTTCTGCTATCCCACTAATGATATATTTACATAAATATATTAATGATATAATAACAAATAATCTAATTAATATTTATGTTATGATATTATATAAGTGCATAAATTTCATATTTTGTCGATTGTTAGAAAATAGGTACTCTCAAATCTATTTCAATAAATGAACTGTAAAATATTCATGGAACACATTAGAAGTAAATATACTACATCATATCCGTATATAATCAAAAATAAATGTAGTATGCAAAGTGCAAACCGAGAACAAAACAAGGCAGTCGCGTTGCATCATCATTATTGCTTGTGCTAAGAGAAAGGTGCGATGAACAGAATAACCACAACGATTAGGTCTTGTTAAAATTCCTAAGTACCTGTAGTGACCTGCGCAGTACTTTACACTACTTTTAGAGAACCGGAGACCCTTTTTACTGGAAACGAGGCATTCTATCTTAGTCCTCATGGGTGACAATGCATTAACAATTTAGTAGACGTCTATGGGCCACAGCATTCACTTACCCAGTGGCGAAGCCTCTATAGAAGCCGAAAAGCCGGGCTTGCCTTATCAAACTGAATTAATTAATAATATCACTGTTTCAAACTATCTCAAATTTCCCGCGCACTCTACTGTTCGACACAGGTCGACCGATGACCTCGTATGTAGCGATACTGCTGCTATCATAAAAAATAAGTTTTAATAGAGCGATTAGTTGTCTCCCTCGCTCGCGTGGGCTTTTACCGGGCTTTCGAGAAGACGATCGCTCTCTTTCTAACCTATGGCAAAATATTCTATAATGAAATATAACTACGATTGTATATATAGCAATTAGTATAGAGAGTTAATGCCAGGCTTTAGGAATGAAGTTGTCGAGAGCGGAGGCCCGCGGGAAATACGTTTGCAAGTTCATTTCACATTTCAATGTTTGTTTACTATGTGTGTTTAGCGTAAGCGATTTTAATATTGCGAGTTGAAAATTTATGCCTTTTTAAAGATTTTTTGTGAAAATGGAGGATAATAGTGTTCCTTGTGATGTATTGAAGTGTGTTAAAGTGCTAATCGGAGAGGAAAAGGTAGAATCTTTAAACTTTGTTAAGATAATACACAAGGTCAAGAGTGTATTTCAGACTTGTCATATTATCGCAATTAAAAAACAGTTATTGGTATAATTAAGACGTTCACCAACATTTCACGTGGACGTAATTAAATCTTTCCCTAATAAAGAGAGACGATTCCATTTAGAATGTACTTAAATAATTTTTTTTTGATTTTGTGCATCATTGATTTATATATTACAGTGTTGTATAACTCAATGTAGTACATAGTTGGTTTATACTTTGTTCATCTTTTACTTTTGTTCATGTATTATATTGTATGTACGTACTATTTTCGAGAGTCATTACGAATCGTCTCGCACGCAGACTCGACGACTTCCAGCCTCCCGAACAAGCCGGTTTACGAAAAGGCTTCAGTACCATAGACCACATACATACCCTGCGGCAGATTGTACAGAAGACCGAAGAGTACAATCTGCCACTTTGCCTGGCATATGTGGACCTATGAGAAAGCCTTTGATTCCGTCGAAATTTGGGCGGAGCTACAGTCCCTTCAGCGGTGCCAAGTTGACTGTCGGTATATCGAAGTGCTGAAGTGTTTGTACAGTAGGGCTACGATGGCTATCCGAGTACAGAACCAGAGTTGGAAACCTATCCAACTGCAGAAAGGTGTAAGACAGGGTGACGTTATATCCCCGAAACTCTTCACCGCTGCATTGGAAGACGTTTTCAAGCTACTGGACTGGAAAGGATACGGTATTAACATCAATGGCGAGTACATCACTCACCTTCGATTTGCCGACGATATAGTCCTTATGGCAGAATCGCTGGTGGACCTAAGCACTATGCTCAATGACCTCAATGCAGTGGCGAAGTTTCTATACAAGCCCAAAAGCCCGGCTTGCCTCATTAAGATGAATCAATCAATTATATTAAGTAACAAAATAACTCTTAAACTGTTTCAAACTATTTTTCCCGTGCACTCTGTCAGACCTCGTAGCCTTACGAATACTGCTGTCAGACATATAAGGAGAGTTGAATTGAGCGATTGGTTTTCTCCCTCGCACGCGTAGGCTTTTTACCGGGCTTTCGAGAAGGCGATCGCTCCCTTTCTAACCTGTGGCAAAATGTTCTATAATGAAATATAACTACGATTGTATAAATAGCAATTAGTATGGAGCTAAAAAGCCCGGCTTTTAGTGACCATTAATTTTTTCCTCAGAGCGGGACGCCTTTAAAATTATTATAGTTCTAACACTTTTGACTGCCTTCTTGGTCTAATGGCAGTAAACGCAATTGCTGATCATGTGGTCCCAAGTTCGAAACCCGAGTCGGGTCAAGAATCATTTATTGGGTTTTTTGCGTCACAAAATTCTCAGTAGCAGTAGTATTACTCTTATTGTATATGTTAGTATAGAGAATGAAATTGTCATATAATACAAGTGACTGATAGCGATGACAGCCCTGGCGAATCTGGTTCAGAGTCTGAATAATTGTTTTAATAAATGATAGGTAGTCATTTATTAAAACATCTTGTACCTACTCTATTCATTAAAATGTGTAACAGTGTTTACAAATTTGTTTTATTTTGATATGTCCTCGACCAATTATCTACGCCCATCAAGGATACTCCACCTAATAAAGAACCTGTCTCTTAACTATTACTGTTTTGATTTTATTTAATTACACACTATACTAGAATATTTAAAAACAAACTGTTCCCAAATGATATTAGGGTTACTGGTTCAGTCACTTCACTAGTATTGTCAATTCGTCATGTGTCAAATCGGTAATAACTCAGCGGCCGGACTATAAAAATTGTCACTTCGTAACTTTAAATTCAAAAGTGTAGCTTTTCAGAATAATCACGTAACTTGACAAGCTATGCAAACCTGGTTTGCGCGGTGCATAATGATGGCACGGGTGACAGGGTTTGCGTGATTGTCACGCTTTTGTTTGTCAAAGCGGGACATTTTTACGTATTTTGGGAATAGCGCGACACAAACATTTAAATCGGGAACGTCCCGCCTAAAGTGGGATGTATGGTCACATTAGGTATGAAGTTAGCCGAGAGAGGAGGCGCGCGGCTGACGCCGACGAGCCGACGATATGTTAGCAAGTTCGTGTCACATATCAATGTTTAGTGTTTACATTGTGTTAAAAAGTACCATAGATAAATAAATATGTAGCAAGCTAAAAAGTACTTCTACTTCTTGTGTGTTGAGCTTGAGTGAATGTATTGCGAGTTTAAAATTTATGCTTTTTTAGAGATTTTCAGTGAAAATGGGAGGATAATAGTGTTCATTGTGATGAATATAAGTGTGTTGAAGTGCTAATCGGCGAGGAAAAGGTAAGATGTTTAAAAATGAATCAATAAACATTTCTTCATACTTTAAATATAGGTACATGACTCTTTAGTATTAAAGTTTAATTAAGTTAGGCGTATTTAAAGGTTTAATAACTCAATATTTATATTACCATACGAATTAAAAATATCAATTTGAACACCAGCATAAAATATGAGACACCTAGGTTTAATTTTATAGGAAATAAGTGTTACAATCTTTTTTTAACGAGAAGCCCAAATTTTAATGAAATAAATCAAAAGAATACAGAAGAATGTATTGAGATTTTTAAACAATACTCCCTTTAGTTATTTCCAGTATATAAAATTTTAATAGCGCCATCTACCTAATTCTATAGGTAAAGTCATTTTATCGAACGAAAATTGGTTGATTCTCACGATGGTACCTAAAGATTACGCTAGATGGCACAAATACGCTATCGGCTAATTTATATTACCATAATATGAGTTTAAAAATATCATTTTGTACGGTTTATTATGAATTGAAAATGAATAATTATATAATAAATAGTCATTATTTTATGGAAAATAAAAAATTAGCAAAGCTTTATCTCTCATTATAACTATCTAATTCCTGTCGTAATCTGTTCTTTTATGCATATAACTTAAACAATATTAAATTCAAAGTAATTTCGAGGTTTCACATCTGCCAGGCGTCCCTTTTTTAACTTTGTACATAGTTTGTTTGTACTTTGTTCATGCTTTTCTTTTGTTCATGTATTGTATTGTTTGTAAATATCTCAAGCAAACCCAAACGGCTCTTTTCAAAACCACCGAAGGTGTGCAATTGCATATTATGTCATACAATCTATCTAGCGGTAGTATGCTTTCTGTGTGCTTTGTTAAACACGTCCTTGACAGCTCAAGATTGGTGTATTTTTATTAAACTGCTAAAAACAATAAAACCATATCTTGGGCTTGCCCTAGTTTGGAGCCCTAGCTTCGCCACTGCCTCAATGGTGTCTCCCAACGGATAGGTCTTAAGATGAACATGGATAAAACAAAGATCATGTTTAATGTCCATGTCACACCTATGCCGGTAGTTGTTGGGAGGACTATGCTCGAAGTTGTTGACGAGTACGTTTACCTGGGACAAATAGTCCGACTAGGTATGTCCAACTTCGACCGAGAGGTCAATCGACGGATTCAACTCGGCTGGGCAGCGTTCGGGAAATTACGACACATCTTCTCGTCAGGTATACCTCAATCTCTGAAAACTAGATTGTACAACCAGTGCGTGTTGCCAGTGA